TGAGCCGGTAGAGGGAAAGTGAACTTAAATGTCCACTGTAGGAAATGCCCATTTGCCTCTCACAGGCCCTAGAAAAGCCGAAAACTTAGAGACAGGGTGGGCGTGGAGCTGAAATACTGTCTCTGCCAACAAGTAAATATTTATTCTCTTGAGAAATTTCACCAATCAAGAAAAAAGAACACAAGATGGTGAAATTTTGTAGGTTTTCCCCTTAAGAGAAACTTGTATGATCATCTTATAGATAAGCTTATTTATTGAAAAAGCTCTTCTAAGTTTCGTAGTGCCTTTTAAATACTGAATAGATAACTAAAGATACCAGATAATTAGAAAAGCCTTCAGTATAAAGACAGACCAAAACAAATAACCAGGAAAAAAGGTACCTGCTCATCAAAATATACCACTAAAATAGATTGATAGATATATTATAAAACAAGTATAGTAAAATGTTAATGGTAGAACCTAGGTAGTGGATATGTATGTGTTCAGTCTAAAATTTTTTCAACTTTACTAAATATTTAAAATTTTTCTTCATAAATTTTGGGAAAAAATTTAGTAAAAGAGATGAGAGATCAAATGAGAGATAAAAATGGTGAAATAAGTCAAAGAAGATCTAAAAATATGAAGAGACATTCCATGTTTATCAGTTGGAAGATTCAGTGTAGTAAAAATATTAGTTCTCCTCAAATTGATATTCAGGTTTAATGCAATTTCTACCAAAATCTCAGCAGGACTTTTTTGTAGATATAGACAAGATTATTTTAAAATTTATATGGAAAAGCAAAGGAATTAGAATAGCTAAAACAATTTTTTAAAAGAGAATAATTGGTAGGAATCATTCTACTAGATTTCAAGACTTATGTTTAGCTGCAGTATTCAAGACTGCATGGTTCTGATAGAGGGATAGACATATAAACCAGTGAAATAGAATAGAGAATCCAGAAATAGCCCCACACAAGTATGGCCAAGGGATGTTTGACAAAGGTGCGTTCAGTGGTGGAGGGATGCCGTTTCAGCAAAATTCAGGACTTGTTTTGCAAAAGACCCATTTAAGGGGATCAAAAGAAGCTACACACTGGGCGAAATATTTGCAAGCCACATATCTAACAAAGGACTAGTTTGTAGAATATATAACGACCTTTTGAAACTTTACAGTGAAAAACAAACGGCTCAATTAGAAAATGGGCAAAAGACATGAACATACATTTTACCAAGAGGATACTGAGATGGCAAATAAGTACATGAAAAGGCGTTCAGCAACATTATCATTAAGAAATGCAAACTAAGACCACAATGAGATATCACATCTATCAGAAAGGCTAACGTAAAAAAAGTAGTGATGTCAAATGCTGATGAGGATGTGGAGAAACTGGATCACTCATAAACTGCTGATGGGATTGTAGAATGGTGTAGCCATTCTGGAAAAGGTTGGCAGTTTCTTATGAAACTAAATATGCAGTACCTTACTAACCAGCTGTTGCACTCATGAGCATTGATCCCACAGAAATGAAAACTGTGTTCACAGAAAAACCCGTGTACTAAAGTTCACAACTTTATTCATTATAGCCCCAAATTGGATACATCTCAGATGTCCTTTAATAAGTGAAAGGTTAAACAAACTGTGTGCATCCATGCAATGGAATACTACTCAGAATAAAAAGGAATAAGCCTTTAGTATATGCAACAACTTGGTTGAATTTCCAGAGAATTATGTTGAGAGGAAAAGGTTAAACAAACTGTGTGCATCCATGCAATGGAATACTACTCAGAATAAAAAGGAATAATTCTTTAGTATATGCAACAACTTGGTTGAATTTCCAGAGAATTATGTTGAGAGGGAAAAAAAAAAAAAAAGCCAATCCAAGGTTATATACTGTACGATTCCATTTGTACAACATTCTTGAAATGACAAAATTATAAAAATGGACACTAGGTTAGTGCATTGATAGGAGTTAAGTGTAGGAGAGTGAGGGTCAGTGGGAAGTTGGTAGACCATAAAAAGGGCAACATGAATTATCATTGTGGTAATGAATTGTTCTGTATCTAGACTGTATCAGTGTCAATGTTTTAGTTGTGCTATGACACCATAGTTTTGCAAGATGTCATTTTGGGAAACTCAAAAAGATGCAACAACTTGGTTGAATTTCCAGAGAATTATGTTGAGAGGGAAAAAAAAAAAAAAAGCCAATCCAAGGTTATATACTGTACGATTCCATTTGTACAACATTCTTGAAATGACAAAATTATAAAAATGGACACTAGGTTAGTGCATTGATAGGGGTTAAGTGTAGGAGAGTGAGGGTCAGTGGGAAGTTGGTAGACCATAAAAAGGGCAACATGAATTATCATTGTGGTAATGAATTGTTCTGGATCTAGACTGTATCGGTGTCAGTGTTTTAGTTGTGCTATGACACCATAGTTTTGCAAGATGTCATTTTGGGAAACTCAAAAAGGGTGCACAGGATCTCTGTAATATTTCTTTCAACAGCATATAAATCTATAATTATCTCAAAATAAAAATTTAATTTAAAATTGATAAATTATTTAGGAAGTAGGATAAAAAAACAAATTTTAGTAGGGAAAAGGTAAGAAAACTAGCAGATAAATTCAGAAGATTCAACATTTAATTATCAGGCATTCCAGAAAGAGAGAAAAAAGAGAGCAAATAAATTTTCTTATATTGAAGGATACAGATCTCTAGATTGAAAGGTCTCACCCAACACAGTAAATGAAAAGGCCCACTACTAGAGAAATTAGAAACTCCCAAAAGTATGCAGAGGAAAAAATTCAGATCACATTGAGTAGAACAGAAAGAAGCATTGGATTGGCATGCTGGAAACAAAGCATGTGAAGAAGAAAACAGAAATAAAGTGGAAAAAAGATCAACTCAAACAAAGTACTTCTCAAAACTCTCAAAGTACCATTCAAGTGAATGTTTCAGCAGAAGGCAGAAATGAACTGAGAAACTGTAGGATAAAGGAAACTAAATCCAACAAAGGAGAAAAGTGATGTGAACACCCATTGAGGGCAACAGAAGTTCCAGGCACATCCAGAGAACAGCAGCTCAGATGAGGCCACGTGGCCAGGGGCTTTGGGGTGGAGGTCTCTGGGGGCTGAAGAAGAGGAAAGGAATAAGGGGTGGATATATTTTCAGAGATTTTTTTTTTTAAGTTTAAAAACTAATAGTAATGAGGATGTGAGAGCTCTAATAAAGAAGTCTGGTGGGTACATAGATAGCAGAGGAAGAAAAACTAGGCCAATACCAACTTTAGGGGAAGTAAAAAGAAAAACTATGGAAGAGAGAGTATTCACATAGTCATCATTTCTGGATTCACAATTGATTAGTCAATTATAATCAGAAGTAGAGGGTTGAGAGTTATAAAAGAGCTAAATTTATGAAAATAGGAAGTCAATTCTTAGCATCTAAAATCAATTCATCACAAATATAGCCATATTCTTTAGAAATATAACATTTAATACCAAAGGAAAAAACTAAGAGTTGCACTGGTTTCTCTGAACAGAGCTTAGCAGTCAAGAAAGGTGGGACAAGAGACTACTGTTTTAATCCTTTTAAAGTTGTGTGTGTGTGTGTGTGTGTGTGTGTGTGTGCATGTATGTTAAACTAACTGTAAGCATTTGATTGAAAAAATGTTTTTCTTTACATCAAAAGGCACAATCCATAGCATAGGGGCAATATCTTAGTTAAGCGTCTGGGGAACTGCAGTGAATAATTTGTTTCCAGTTGGTAATTAATCCATATGTCATTTACTAATACTAAGTGTCCCTTCCTACATCAATAGTGGAGTCTGGCCTGCCAAGAAGCATCATGTCTATGAGCTTAAAAAATGTTACAGTATGAGAACAGACATTCTACTAATGTAGAGACTGTTTATTCCCAGTTTAGTATCACAGAGGCTAGATAATATATAGAAGTGTTAGAGTCCCGGGAAATGTGCCCTTTCAATATAAGCTCCTTGCTCTTCTGCAGCATGGATGGTGAAAGAACCTACTTGGGCAAGTAACCTAACATCTGAGCCCACATTTGTGCATCTGGAACATGAGAATAACTGTAACGTTTTTATAAGGATGGGAAATAATATATGCCATGTGCCTAAAGAGTGCTTAGTACGTAGAGGTACTCAGCATTACAGTTTTGGAATAATAAATAGCATTCATAGTAATACTGATATCATTCCTATGATTGAGCTTTTATTGATTAACTTGCCACAAATATCTCTCTCGATTTCCTAATCCTTGGTATTTACAATTAGTTTTATGCAGAGTACTGCCAGAGGACTGGGCACATAGCTAATGATAACAACTGTCATTGAAAAGTTGTCTCCAGATAGGCCAGTATTAAGAATCTCGGGGGACTGAAACGGGATGGGGAGGGCTGGGCAGTGCAAGAAGGGAATGATTCAACTGTACAGTGACTTCTGGATGTTTAACGTTGTTGTTGAACTTGTTCTCAGCCAGAATCCGGGTTGTTGTAATGGAAGGAATGGGTCCAAGGTACCTTCTTCTGATGCTCCAGAATTCATATCAAGGGCTGTGTGTGGTGTTCCTGGGGGCATACCCAAAGAATATAATATTCTTGTATTTTTAACATATTTTTAATAACTCCAACAATCAAAAGGTCATAATTTGTTGTAATGATGCTATAATTAAGTTGTGGTAAATGATAGCATTTGTAGACTGTATAACCAGAATTGATTCATAAAATGAACATAGTTCCAGCAGTTTATGTTAACATAATTAAATGGAAATGTAATTCTAACTCAGTTTGCTTATTAAATTGAAAATTACCAGGTTATGAGCACTCTAACATTTCTGTCAAAATTGGTCTAAGTCTAGAATTACATGAAATATCCATTAAAATAAAGCATATTTAAGGCTCTGTTGCTGGTGGCCAATAAATTTCTTAAAGCACATGCAGATTGATCATGTGAATGCATGTGCTTTTAGTTAGGTTCCGGCTAACTCCTTTTCTCTTTCCTCTGCAGCCATTGGTTTAGCCCTGGGGCTAGGACAGAGCATGGCCAGGTAAGGAACATTCTAATCCAAAAGGAAGTTACTCAGTCTCTTTCAAATATTTAACTATTTCCCTTCAGGGTAGTAGATCAGCTTTACGAGAAAGGATATAAATCCCCAGCTTATTTTTAAAGGAGTTAATTCTGCCAGGGCTTAATACACTGACCATATGAATGATCCTAAGCATCAGAGTTTTCCTTTACTGCCACCTTCCTCAGCCACACATGTGACCTCCTCAGAAGGGCACTGGAACTCACCTGTTTGTAGGACTTCACTACTTACGTTTTTTTCCCCACAAAGTTAAGGTATCAAAACCACATGTATGCTTAAAAAAGAATTTGTTTTAAATATAAGATCAGCCAGCAAGAGAATATTTTTATCTTTGAAAAAGGTTAAAAGAAATCAATAGTGTCCTACAAGGTTACATATATCTCTATGAAATTTTTTTTAATCTCTTATTGGTATACGTGGCAGCATAATGATTAGCTGACTTAGCAAAAGGTTGTCATTCATTTTAGTTACTTTTACATATAAAATAAGTGGTCTACTTTCTTTGATTCTTGAATGTATTAGTTCTCTGTCTTTGAAGCATGATAAGATAATTTAGGGCTAACATTTCTGACAAGCTTTAAAGTATATACATTTTAGGGTTTGCATCCTTGTGAAGTTTGTTTTTTCATTATAAATGATAAAAGTTTTTTTTTTTAATGGATCAAAAACATGATACCTAAGAAAGTTCGCCTCTAAAAATACATGGGAATGATAAACTCCAAATTTTCAGGGATCATATTTTTTGAGGGGTAGAAAGGAAGGTAGGTAGTAGAGAGGGGTCCTTTGCTTGGTGATGGTAATGGGTAAGACTACTGGTGAGGTTTGATTTCTTGCGCTGGGCAATAGTTTCAGAGTTGCATATACCTTAGTTCCTTTTACTAATAAAAGAGAAGTAACATGCACTTCATTATGAACTATACTTTATTTCTTAATATACATGAGCCTAATAAAAATAACTCGTGAATTCAGTTTTAATGTTTTTTTGTTAACTTGCCTTTGTCCATGAGAGTGATTTGCTCCTTTAAAGATACTTCTCACATTAATGATAGAAAATGTACCGCTGTTTCTATAGACTCAGAAGTTAACGAGGCTAAGTCATATCTATGATGTGTTTATCTTACTTATTATTCAGAGTGCAAAAATTAGACTTTCTGCTTTCCCAAATGGTTCATATCCTTTTAGGAACAAGGCTTTCAATAAGATTCTGCTTCTACTATTAAGCTGTATTGGGATATAGTTTATCCCAAAATACAATTTTCTACTCTTTAGAATTTGAGAAATATTAGAGTGATGTTATAAATTTGTATTTTGGATTATGGTATACTTGGTTGGTTTTGGCCAAGTTTTATTCTGCAATTAAAAATTAATTAGTATCTAATAACTTATAAGGAAGATAGTTGACCAGTTGTTTTTTATTTTTAAAAAGTTTTTACTCTTTTTGACCCAGTTTTTTAATCAGCCTTTTGCTTAAACTTTGATATGCCATTTCAGATTTTTATCTTGACTAAACAGGTTATTAATTAAATACAGCCAGATTTTGTTGCTTGTAGTAATTATGTTCTATAAAGTTAACTCAAACACTAAATCACTGAGTACTGAACCATTGCTTTCAGGGAAGATACAGTGTTAGGTTGCTTGAAGCCCCTGCTCACAACATTTTCATCAACTAATCAGTAGATAACCATGTTTTACGTTTTTCTGTTTCAAGATACCTTATTTAATAGCTATTATTGATTCATTAACATTGAACTTAATGGCCAACAGCATTATAACTCATGTCTAAACTAAACTTACCTAACACACATTTTCTCCGTTAGGCACATATTTTCTTTGTATTTTCTCTGAGGCAGTATTTTCACCACCTCCTGGCTCTTAGGAACACCAGACAGCACTTCAGAACTATGCTGTGGTCATTTTAAACAGTCAGATCACCAACAAAAGCACAATAATGCAAAAAAACGTGGCACTAAACACACTGCAAAAAAAGACAATTTTTTACAGTATGAGAGTTGAAACAAGGCAGAGTGTCGCCTTGTTGGACCTCAGCTAGGAACATGCATCCATTATAGGCAACTCAAATTTTCATTACTTTGAGCATATCTGTGATTGACAGCAAAAGCATCAGAAATAGGCAGGTAGTTCAAAAAGTTCATAGAAAGATTCATATTATCTTTTAATTCTATTTTTTAACAAACTTTTCAAAGTACCCTTGTATTTATTTTGGTGTTACAAATAAATTTTAGCAAGTAAGTGAATTCACAAATATGGAATCTGCAAAAATGAGGATCAACTGTACATGTATGTATATATACAAATATACACTATTTACATTTTGAGAGGTAATAATTTCTTAGTTCAACTTAGACATAACTATATATAGCACAGTAAACTGTTGGCTAAACCTAAGTGCAAGTGATGAAGTACAAGACCATGAGGAAGAGTAAAAACCTTCAATATATTGTTGAATGAATGACTGTTAGCAGGCATAGTCATCTTCTATTTTTCTCATACCAATTTATCAACATAAAAATATGATAATATTAATCCAACTTCTTTTTAAAATCATCCCTCACTGCTTTCTCCCCATCTTATGACTATTCTTCTTTCTTGCTTTTCTTTAGTGCTAAATCCCATTTCCATTTATCCAGTGCATAATGATCTTACCTTTATTACACATTTATTGGATAACTTATCTATCAGCTGTTATCTATCAGATATTTTGTATTTTTACAAAAAGAGGTAATTGTTTTTGGTACATAGTTTTTCACCTGAGGTGGTTACAGTCTGGGGCAGGAAAGCAGTAATTACAGTATGTTTATAAAACCATAGAGAAAACCATGGAGAGAGCACTATAAATGCCACAAAAGAGACACTGAACTGAAGTTCCTGAACTGGAGAAAGGAGAGTTGGCTATATGGAGCATTTTTTTTATTTTCTTTTTTCATTCTAAGACTTTGCCTCCTTGAACATCTTACAGTTTGACATTCTGACTGAGTTTACAAGTAGCTCAGTGAGTCATAACTCATAGTTTAGGTATTACTTAGTTCTCCTTTCAGTGTTGAGTACACTGAGAGGCCAAGTGTGAAAAGACTTGGAATAATTTTGCAGACATTTGAGGAGTTATCTGAAAGGTGGCTGCCAGCAGAAACACTCCTGAGTTTGAATGCTTTATGCATATCCGCTAGTAAAAGGTGATTTCTATGGCATGAGAATGCGGCTGTTTGCTTCTTCATCTTGTGTTAGGGATTTGAGACTTCTATTAAACTTGTAAAAATACCATGAATAACCACAGAAATTCTTAGCTCTCTTTCTGTGTCAGTAAAATCCATTATACACAAGGAACACGTTTCTTCCTGGTTTAATATAGCAATTTTTAAAATTGTGTACCTCGGTTTTACATTTGTGGATTTTAATGTAATTCTTACATGAGTAATTTTTTAATATACATCTGCAGGTCACTAATAAGGGAATTGTATCTGCGTTTGGCGTAAGTCCAGCAATCTGAAAGTTGGAAGGTAAGAAGCACTTCGCACCATATTCGGAAGTTTTGTTTTTAATCAGAGTTGACATTACTGAGTCAGGAAACTGAAAAGTGACCTCACTTGTGACACTGATAGGAGTCCAAAGAAACAGAAAAATTATTGATAAGAAGAATTAAGAATTTCTCAAAATCTAATGGGCTACTCTTTCTTATTAGAGCAGGGATCAAAGATTCTTGGTTTTTTTATTGTGAATTCATGACCTGACTTTCTTCTTCCTTTCTTTCTTTTTTTTTTTTTAGAAAACATGTTGGGAATTTTTTAAATACAAATTTGTGTTTTCGGTTGTCCTAGTAATGCCTTAGATTAATTTTTCATCTTTGCCCCTTAAAAGATCGAGGTTTACATATTATCTTTTTAGATTCATGACCCAGACATCCAAGTCTGCATTTTTATCTGAGATTCATTTTAAAATTGCAAAGTTACACCCATGTTTACAGTTTTATTGGTAAGTGAGATAATTTTGTGATGGCATTTTTATATAGATGCATTGCATTAAGTAATTTCATTATGTGTCTCTTTTTATGTACAAAGCCTATCAAAACCGTAAATTTGAGGAAGAAAACATATTCTCGTATGAGTCTAATTTAAGGAGCTGTGACATCAAAGTTCAGAGAAGGTGCAATCTCATTAAGTTCATCCAGGTGTTGGCCTCTCTGAGAAATATCCAGATCTAGTAGGTACATACTGCCTAATGTTTGTTTTCGTTGTTATTGTTCTAAACTATAGAATTCTTTTCTTATTTCAGAACATTGTGTTTGGGATTTTGAGTTCTTTGTTCGAACTGTTTTTTAACACAAACCTCAGGAATAGTGTTCAAATACCTGTATCTGTCTCTTATCTTAAAGTTAGAAAAGTTAGTTAACTTCTGTTAATGTAAGATGGAGGTAGAGATGTCATCCTACCTTTAGCTATCTGTGTCACAAATGCTGGTTTGTATATGTTTTTTTTAAAGGCACTAGGCTTAGAAATGCCAAAGTAATTAATTTTTTTTTTATTTTCAGAAACAATTTAATGTTTATGGTACGAAGTGTTTCTAAATTGAAACACTTTCAGATTAATGGACTTAAGATATAAATGGTTGCTATTTTCTATG